CATGTAACACAACAAATTGTACACTATAGTCAGTAATTGGACACGAAAAGAGAGACCTACAGAAATTTTGTTAGTAATCTTATTCTGGCGTTAAGAAAACTATATACTAAAATGCAATCTGGTAATATCAAAAGCTCATGGTATTTGACTATTTGAAGAAACATTACCAAATGGAAACAGTGGATAACACTACAACAGGCACTAGATGGTGATTTGTTGTTATGATGTTGATACTTGTATCACAATTCCTACATACAGGATTCCACTAAAGCATTAGCAAAACAATTCAGAGACATTAAAGTGTTTGTGTACTGACTTATTATTTGCTTCCGATCAGACATGATACATGAACTCACCTGTTCTCTCCGGTAGCGCATATGCATGTGTAGGAGCAATGTCGACAGGCTCCATACCTATAAGAATGATGAAGAAATATGCTTTCTAACTGATATTCCTTCATGCCTGGTTTTGCCTGTCTCATAACCTTGCAAAGTCCAAGTCAAGAATCAGATACACATTTAATTCGCCTCTCGAAAAATAACAAAGGAGTCAGTAGTTGTTAACACCTAAAGGAATATTTTTACAAATTACTCCCTCTATCCCATAATATAAGACCGTTTTTGACACTAGTGTAGTGTCAAAAACGCTCTTATATTATGGGACAGAGGAGTAGATTTCTAAAGTGATTCCTGCATCGTGGGTCCCATTCTTTGCTTATGAGGTGCCAGAACCTATTGTGACAAGACGACTCAATGCTTAACTTCAGTGATTTGTTTGGAACCTCGTAAATCATAATATAATATTACAGTGTGTTTGCTTCTTTAGTAATTTGGGACCTTTACTTCATCCCCAAACAAAAATTCCTAAAGCTTAGCCCATGGCAACAATTAAACCCATCCCTGGTTGAACATAAACTCATCCCTGCAGGATTATGTGGTGGTAAGAACAATTAATCCCAGTAGTAGTACTCAAAAAGCCGAAACCCATTAAGTACATGTCTGTGCATCTAGTATCTTGAAGGATTATCATGGATGATTGATGAATACATTCATTTGG